ACGCCATGGAGCTCTACATCATGGACATCATTGCTTGTAATGCTGTTTGCACCACAGGTGTGATGTGTGAGAGGCTGCCAGCCCAGGAGGTCACTGCTGTACCCTGGATGGCTGCAATGGACTTAACATCCATCACGATGCCATTCTTCTCACAACCAACACGTGCTAGAGCTTGTCTGCTGTTAGAAAAGGTCTTACACATCTACACGGCCTGTAGGTGACTGCAAAATTGGTATGAAAAATACCAATTTTTTTGGGTCCAATTAAATGGCTGATGTTCTAAAAAAAGTCAAAGCTTGGGAGGTGAGTCTCCTTATTTCAGTGCTGTTATGCCTTAGGGCTTCTGTGGAGCTGCACCTTTGGCTGCTCAGGAAGGATTAAGTTTCAAAAGAAGGAACCCCAAAAGCCGAATTTTCAGATCACCTTCCTAAATTTGCTGAATGTCTCCTATTGTAAAAACTCAAACATCAGAATCAGGAAATACCGTTCTGAAATACCCACGCGATGTTAGATTTGACACAGTGAATTGATGATCACGTAAAAGACCTCAGCTCTTGAAGATGCATATTTTTAGCTCCCAGTGTGGTTAGTAGCTCTATCTAATTCTCCTTGAAGCCTCAATTTCACTGAAAGCCAACTGTCTGTGAGTAGGCATTCAGATAATTATTTGGCCTATTCGAGTGATAATGCACTACAGAGTTTACAGGTTCCTGAAAAAACTAAGAATGGGAATAAATCAGCCATCTAAAAAGAAAATTTTCTCATAAAAGAACTGAGAAAAAGCAGATAATGTGAGACAGGAGAATTAACTTCTTGTCCTAAAAGCTCTCCTAATAACAACAGCATGTAATTTGTTCGATCTTTCACACTAGGTGTCAAGCAATGGGTGGAATTCAGTGCAAGTTTGCTGACTCCAGAATGGGAAGAATAGCATCACCTGTATCAAGTGCTTCCATGGACAGGTGCAGGACCATGACCAGCCTTCCCCAGGGCTGCAAGTTCTGCTTTTTCCTAAAGATTGCCTCAGCTGCACACTGTATCTGCTGCAGGAGGGGTGCAGCATGCGCTGCCTGCAGGCAGCAGTATGGGGTTAGCATGGATCTGCCCCACCACGGGCCTTGGCCACCAGGAGGGGACAGCTCGCTGCCTGCGGGCCAGAGCCACGGCCGTCTGTTCTGTGGTTACCACACCACGGACTCGCCTCCAGCACCAGTTAAACCAACTGGTTAAATGACAAGTCTTAAGAGATTTGCAAGTTTTAGGATTAGAAGAGGGCGGTTTGGTCTAAGTTCCATTAGTGAATGCTAAATAGGCAGAATGAACCTTTTGTTGAACAAGAGCATACGTCAAGAGAAATCAAACCTGGACTGAAAACAGGGAAGATTTCACCACCTCCAACAGTAAACTGCTCTGACCCTGAAAACCTCATTTCCAGTTGAGTTTAACCTACTTGGAGCAGCAGGTGATATCACACCCTGTAGCACCACAGGTTTCCACCTTCTGCAAAGAAATACAAGCTGGGAACAAGTTCCACAACACCTCAGCCAGGCTTTGCCATCATCACAACCCTCAGCCCATCCCACCCCCAGCCTTCCCCAGCACACCCACAAACTCCACCAGGTCTCTGGTGTTACTGCAGGAGCCTCCTCATCGGGGAGGAACAGCCACCCAGCTCTGCCCTGCGAGCTTCACAGACCCAGCGAGCCACGAGCTCAACAACAGAAGCAGCCCTTTGAGCACAGGAATAAAGTGAGAGCTGAAAACATCATTAGCGACCAAAAAGCATCCAGAAGTGTTTTCCTTTCTGAGGTCAGATAAGAATAGCTGTGATGAGCTGCTGTTCTAGCAGCGTGTTCCTCGCACTCTTTGTGTCTCATTATGCTGTTTTTCAGGGCCGTTGTCATAGTAGTCTGCGAAGAACCTTATGTAAGAAGAAGGATGATGGTTCTGCAGCTTGTTAAAAAAGAGCATTTAACAGATAAGTGCTAATGTTCTAGATTAGGGATTCTTGCTCCCTTACACTGTGCTGGATCATGTAAGCACATGAATCACTTGGACTGCAAAGTACACATCCTCCCATCAGCTCGGAGTTGAAGATTACAGTGTCTACTCATGAAACTGTGGCATCAGTAGAACAAAAATAAGAATAAAATGTGCAGTCACACAAACAAAACTACTGATTCCTTGTTTCTCATGAGAAACGACTCCTTTGACTTATACCCTTGTATTTACTCTTCTACATTCGTGCCACTGCATTTCCACATTCCAGGGTGGCACAACTGCAAGTGAATCAGTGGGATTTATGTGACAGACAGGGACTCACTGCCCCTCTGCAACTTTCATGTATGTCTTTTTAAATAATGCAGACCTCTTGCCAAGAAGACATAGTGTTGCTTTCGGGAAGGTCACTGGACTTTGGGGAAATATGCTTTCAATCTTTATTCTTCCCACTGATTGCTTTGGGGAGGAAGCTTCTCTCTTCTGAGCACACACCAGCACGGCCTCCTGCCAGCCCCAACTCGTTGCAGCCAAGCAATGGGCTGGTGGGAAGGGGATGGAGATGCTCCTGCCATGCCACTGCCAGCCTTGGGATGCTCTGTTCAGCTCTGCTTCCACCAGGGATGGGTCATTTATTAGCAGCTCGAGGCCAGAGGACACAGCTGCAGATCTCATCTGCTTTCCAGCCTGTGCCTTCAGCTCCATCACAAGATTTTTTTCTTGCACTATCTTTTCCACCTTTCTCACTTCTGTCCTTTTTTTCCTCGTTTTCTCTCCCTGCCACCACTGCTTAAAGGCAAGGCTTCCACTCAGCGCCAGAGCTGCAGTACCGCTGAATCCCTTTTTCTCCTTTTCATCCATAAGTGAGATTGCTCAGAAAGGTGAAAATCCCAGTGAGAAGGCACATTAGCAAAAAGCACGCACTGAAAGCCCTGCAGGGACAGCTGCAAACTGCTTCACCTCACCAGAGCCATCCCCAGTGTGGAAACTTCACTCCTTGTTCTAAATGTGAACTTTGAGGATTCTGACGTCTCTCTGGTGACACGCATCTCCAAGGACCCCAGAGTACTGAGCAAATTGCATGCTCCTGAATCACTCCAGCCATGGCTGGGGTGACAACTAACAAATGTCTGCCTTCCCAGGCCCACATTAAAGAACAGCTTTGGATGGGAAAAGGACTAAAACCCCGGCTTGGTAGTTTGGGGGCTTTATTGTGGGCTTTTCTCTTTTTTTTCTGTTATTGTTAGGATACAGATATAAAACACTGACATGGACCTTGGATCTCAGTGTGCTGGGGTTACTCAGAGGGAAAGTCGCGGTGTCCTTCTCATCTCCAGGAGGTTATCATCTTCTCATCTCTCCCAGAGACACTGGGCTTGGCAGGGAGGTGGCAGTGGAAGGCTGTGGGTGCAGCTCCCACCCAGCTTGCAAGGAACGAGTGCGACCTCCTGCGTCACCTGCGGGTGAGATGCTACAAAGGACAAATGACCCCGCTCACCCTCCTCGCTCTGATCTCCTGCCAGCTCCCATTTCCACAGCCACTAGTGCAAAGGGCAGCTCGTTGTTGCAGGAATTCACGTGGGTTGCTTTTATGGTAAAGATCAAACGAGAGCAAAACCCCAGCAATGCAGGCTGGGGCTGGCTCCCTGCAGCAGTGGTGAGCGCCATGCTGGGAAGATGTGCTTCATCCCTTCAGCAACTCGCTATTTGGGGAGATGGACCACAGATGGAGGTAAAGCCCAGAGGGACAAGGCCATGATGTTTTCCACGCCTATCTGCTGACCAAAAGACAACATCTCCTATCCTCAAAGGTTCCACAGAAGCATCTCTGCCTGAGGCAATGTGGTCGTGGGTGAGTGGGTCTCAGCTGAGTGAGACCATCAGTGAATGAGAGCATCGTGTACTTTCTTGTTGATCTGACAGTATACTCACACGCTACAGCTCTATTTTAACCCTGTGCTGGGATGATAGCAGCAGATTAAATCCTGGTGGAAACCAGTCCAGCCACTACACTTGCAAAAACACGTTCTCACACATGCAGTAGCATCACCAGGGTGAGTGGCCTTTTGCCCTGAGAGAGGGGCTGGGTGCTTGCCAGTAAGCAGCCACACTCTTGCTCTACAGGCTGCATTTTCAAGTGCTGTGTAGCAAATCCCTTTTCAGCACACTGCATTGAAAATAGGGTTCAAGAAGACATAAAGAAGCCCCAATATTCAAGATGCTCGTGTTCTTTGAGTAAAGCCTCCTCCAAATTCTGCTGAGTCTGAAGAAGGCCCACAGGAGCTTCCAGCAACCAGTGGGCTGCTGCCAGTGGAGTGCTGCCATTTGTGTTTTGCAAGTGTTGCCTCTTTCATATTGCTGTTAACTCAAATCATGGCCCATCTAATTCGGGAAATCCTTGGTGACCAATATATCTTGGTGCCATGATGTTCGTGTGCAGTGGAAAGGAACAGCCCATCACGTTTTCCTAACTTCACGCCACCGTGCGGTCCCTGCGGAGCCTCATTTCCTAATGCTACTCTTCCTGCAGCCAGCCTGTGCAGCAGATAAATGAGGAACAGATATTCTTATTTACTGAGAAGACCACAGCCCAGCCAGGCTCATCTTGCACAGCTGGAGATTTGAGTCCTTTTTCTGAGAAGCATCGGGACATCAGATCGAGGTCCCCAGCATGCATTTGCATGAACCACTGGCTGCATTCATACTCACAGATGCATGGAGCACAGTGTGCAGGTAGTGCTCCATCTCTTTCTAAAACCAGCTCTTTCTAAACCCAGTTGCTCAACTTCCTGCAGCAACAAGGAGTGACTACACTATAGATGAAGAAATATTTCCTTCAGTTTACCCTAAATCCCAGCCAGTGCTGTAACCAGCGATTCCTTGTTTTGGCATTGCTGAGTGCTGTGATGAGCAGGAAGGCAAGGGTTCTCAATGGGCTCTCCAGGGACTGCTCTAGGGGGTGTTCAAAGCCACTGTGAAATCTTTTCCTTTTTCACATTTCAGTCTTCATGACAGCTTCCATCAAAGTATCCTTTGCACTTGGTCTCTCCAAGGGCAGCAGTTGGAGCTGGGACACTTCCAGCTCGTTTTGCTACCCTGTCTGAGATGGCATTTTAAGCTGCAACTGCTCTATGTTTAACAAGCATTGTGTCAAGGGACTTACCTCTCATCACCCATACCCATCCCTTGTTCGGTCAGGAAGCTGCTAAATGCTTGTTCACATCATGGTGATAATTGCCTATGAGAAAAGGTCTTCCATATTTCATCTTCCATTGCACAGCTGCACCAATCCAAATTCCTGCAGCTGACCTTTTCCTGCTGTTTCCTCCTCCTATATGAATGAACATAAATAGCTGAGACTTCCCCTCCTCTGCTCCCTTCTCTGCCCTTCCTGAGTACAGCTCAGAGCAACGTGGTCAACGATTTGCTCAGATCTGAAAAAAGCACAAGCAATTTTCATAGATGGGGCTTTTACTTTTCCTAGCAGCATAAACAGGATACTCTGCTCAAAATAAAACTAAACGCCTCAACATTATCTATCATGCACATATTATTCTCCAACTGAATGCTCCTATTTGCATGACATTAAACACAAACCCAGGGAAATACAACTTGTTTCAATAGATCAGGAATATAAAGAAATCGCTCCATGCGCTATCATCTTTATCGACATCTTAAACTTCCCCCAGCAGAAAGCTGCCCAGAATGAGGGCAGCAAGAGCAAGCTCATCCTGCAGCATCCAGGAACGAACTGCCTCCCATGGGAGCTGGGGCTTTCCTTTGGCCTTGGAACCAAGGAACTTAGGACTTTGGCTGCGCATGTTTATGTTTCCATCCCTGATCCAACGTCAGCTGGAAAAAAAAAGGCTCTGGGGGCTTTCTGTGCACAAGGACAAGCTCTCAGCCTGCTGCTGCCAGGACAGCAATGCCAGCAGAAGAAATGATGGCTGATGCCTGGCATCCACGCACCTAATGGTGACACTAGGATGGGCTCTGCAGGAAAAGCTGTGGCTGCAGCACGAGGAAGCCTTTGAAGTTGACGTTAGTGAGGTTGGAGCTGGTTTGAACTGCAGAGGAGAAGTGATACGAAAAGAAAAGGCTTTTATACTGACAGTCAAGCTTAAGCCTGCCCTCGCTGCATGAGAATTGTGAGCTCAAAACTTAAAGGGGGAAAATGAAAGGGCTGGATTCAGTGGACACACAGCTCAGACTCAGCTGTCAGGGGAATAAAGTCTTTGATAAAGAAAATCCCATCCTCAGCTATTCCCACGGGTGGCAGCAGTTTCAGCAGCTCCAAAGGCTGGGCTGTGCCATCAAGGCAAGCACCCAACGTCCTCCCATGCACTTCTACTCCTCCAGACTCATGGGCAGGTCAGTGCAGAGGGTGCCCTCAGCATCTCAGCTCCCTCCATGTCCCACAACAGCTCCAGCAGTGAAGATTCATTCACAAAATGTGCATTCATGCACAAAATGTAGCAGCAGCATATTGCATAGTCAAAGTTGGACCTTGAGAGACAGGGAAAAAAAAGCAAAAAAAAGCAGCTCATAATTACTTGGGTTATATTTGCCTTTCCAAAGGGCATAACATTTTACGTGATTCATTAAGATCAGGGCCTCGTGTGTATCTGTGAAGGCTGTGCTGGCACAGAAATTAATCATCTGAATGTATGGGGCTGGGTTTGATGATGGCTCCCGTGCCACCCGACCCTTGGGGACACTGTGGTGCCAGCACTCAGCTCCAGGCACTGCAGCCTGCAGCCAGCCCTGAGGTGCTCATGTTCTCCCCTCCATGGCCCTTGTGCTGTTGTGATAACAATCAAAGTGGTTTAATTAGAAGGAAAGAGCTGAACCAGAGAAGCTCTGCTGTAATGCGGCTTGTGGGTATTTTTGGTCCCAGTCCCCACAGTTGGTGTTTCTCTGTAGCAGCCAGGATGGGACCATCAGGTCAATGACAGGATGTGCTGGGCTGCTCCCAAGGCCAGGGCTGGGGGCTGCCGGCCCTTCTGCAAAGCCTCAGGCTGCATCCAGGTGGGTCACAGTAAGGGGAAAACAATGCATGTACACAACAGTCGATTTCAGCCCAGGGTATTTTTGAGATTGTTTTATCATAAACTCAAAGATCTACTGCTGTTCTATTCCTGCATAACTGCATGAGTAATTAATTACCGCTGTACAGCAGCCCAACCTTTCGAGTATTTGCATTTCACATTGCGTCCTTACTGGGAATAAGAGGTAACTGCACTCATCTGCAAAATGCCTCGGGTAACATTGATCATCAGGGGAATGGCAGAGTAAGGTGCACACTGTGTGTGTGTGTCACAGTGCCACTTCCCTGTCACTTCAGCTCTGTTTGTTAGCAGAAAATGTACTTTTTCTGCACTCCCTCCTTCAGCTCTAATCTCCTGCAGGAGGAGCAGAGGGTTTTGCTTTTCGAGATGCTGCTGAGCTCTCTGACAGCAGCCTGTGCTCCATGAGCAGGAGCTGTTCTTTGCATTGGGGCAGGAGAGGAGGCCACGAACTGGTGCAAGCATCCCCAGGGCGACGTGTCTTTTGGCACAGGGTGAATCTCTGACGAATTCATTTGGTAAGATCTCACAGACTTTCCACAAACACATTCCTGACGTAGGAGCCGAGAGACAGCTCCTAAAACCTTCACTAAGGTGGCATTAGCTCTGTTCTTCCATACAGAAATGGGGTTTGATCCAAATGTTGTAGGAACTTTTCTGCACACTTCAATGCCTTTTTGATCAGAAGCCTCGGTCCTTCTGGCACAAATATCCCTCCCCAGAGCTAAATCTCATTAGGAGTTGAAAAGACTGATGGAAACCGCACCACTGTAAGGGGAGGAAGGGCTGGGGTTGTTGCTCTTGTTTCCAGAGTATGAAATAAGGTATTGAATAATGAGTTTTTCTGGTGTTGCTTGAGTTCTGTGGGCAGATTGCTACAGCTGATTCCTAGCCATGCACTGTACAAACTTACAAGCAAGCTCCCTTGGTGACACACGAGGTCAGGGAGACCCACATTGGCCTTGTGTGCACGGGGAGGCAAAAGGTACCAGTGCTGAGCCCTGGGCTGTAACCCCCAGCCAGCTGGTGCTGGTACAAAGCCTCACTGTGGGTGGGATACGCCATGCTGCATGGCTGCAGACTGGGCCGGGGCTGCCAAGCAGGCGGGTGCTCCCAGGGCAGCAATGGTCATCCACAAATGCCCCAGAGGAGGAAATGATAACCGCAGACTTTCTCAGCTCAACACCGCAGGGCTGGCCACATTACGAATGAACTTTCTCCATTCAGACTCAGGTTTCATCACATTAAGAAGAAACAGAAGAAAGGCTGAAACTAGAGAGGGGATGGAAAGAAACAAAGAGCAGAGCAAAGCAGCATTAGTCATTAGCAATAACATGTCAGGAGATCCTTTTCAAAAATAACATAAACAGCTCACTTCGCCTCCTACGTCAGAAATGGTGATTCCATATCTGTTATTCTAGAGAAAGGGCTGTTAACTATTAATAATACATACAGACATTAAAGAAAGCAGAGAAATGATGTTACACGGGTAAGCAAACTGACAATACATAATCTTCAGCAACTTTGATTATTATTAAGCAGTTAAAGAGCATCTTAATAAGCTTGCAGCACGACAGAAGCTTGCAGCTTCAGAATGCTGTGCTCATACCAACCACAAAACCAGATTTTCTCAGGGCAGGTGTGTAGTACAGGGCTGGCCATGACTTCTGAGAGACGCTCGCTTCTTTCAAATTCCATCTCTTCCCTCAAATTCATCCACTGCTCTGTTCTGCCCGCCCATCCCTGACTCAATATCAAATATATTTTCAACTTGTCCTAATGAAAAATCTGTGAAACAACAGGAGTGAGGACAAGGGGAAGGCAGACAGCGGAGCAGTGAGGGGCTGTCTGGGTGGGGAGCAGAGGTTGGAAAGGGGCAGCAGCTCAATCTGTCTTCATTTTGCTGTTTGAATGTATTTTCCTCCCTTAACTTTACAGCCCTGAGTCCATTACTCCTCCTGTGAAGCTGAAATTATGGGGAAGAGTGGATCAGTGCATTTACTCGGTATTGTTATGTGTCAAGTACTATAGAAGTATTAAATTGGGAAGGAAATTTTAAAACCATTCTTCTGACATGAGTCACAGAAGTAAGCTATCAGGAGCTATGTCACAGGCTGGCAAGAAACATACAGCATCTTTATGATTCTTCCTTTTATGGAACCCAAGCCATAAACAATAGAAACAAGGGAAGGGAGAGAATGTCATTTCATTAGAGTAAACGTGACACAAATTTAATAATGAATAATAGCCGTTATCTATAAAAATATGAAAAGCCATTTTCAAAATCATTAGCTCTAATTGCAAATGAATTTTGCAGCTTCTTTTCTGTTTTGCATCCCTGTAATGAACTCTGATAAATTCAAGGGACTACATGTTAAATAAAGAGATAGAAGAGTCTAATTTGCTGCTTCATTAAACCGGCTTATTTCTAGAACATCTTGCTGTTGCTCTGAATTTCCCATCTCTGAAAGGTGGAGACAATGGAGCTATCTGTCTCTAATGTAGTGTGGCACACAATTAGGGATTCAAAAGGATGTGAATCTCTTTCCATCAGAGATACATGCAGCGATTATTATTTTATTACCAAATACTGTCAGCATTACATTTTTCCAACAGTTACTGTGACACCTGACTTGCATGTTAAGTTTGCACAAAGCGTTATAAAAAAAGTCAGATGGAGTTTATTTATACCACATTATTCCTTCTTACGTAGGCCTTCACAGAGTTTGAACGTTCGTAGAGTTCAATACTGAAGATTTGCAGTCAGAATATAAAGATGATGCTCTGTCATGTGGATGAGGTTTTAAGGCAGTGATATAGCACAAGCTCAACTTTACAAACCATGGTCACAAATCAACAAAAAACATATCTGAACCTCTATTCAGCAAAGCACTTATACACATGAATCTCAGGCACTGTCCTTTGCAGGGATAAATTTTTATGCAACTAAAGATCTTTCAGCTTCAATCAAAACTTACCTTCAGTCTTAGCTTTGAACTGATAAAGATGCTTTTTTAGATGCAGTATGAGCTTAGGTTTTACATCCATGATCAGAATGTGGCAAGTTATCCACAGGAAAGACTCACCTGGTAACCTGAAACACATCAACAAAAAGACATGAGGCATTTAGGGTTGTATTCTATCTCCATAAATCCATGTCATATCTCTATAGACATATATTCCCTTCACATACCTACTGAATGACCAACATCACCACTCATGTACAATGGGGTTACATTCCCATGTAGATTGCTAATGATGTGTGCTTCCCTGTCTCACCATTAGTGTTAGAGCTGAGAGACACAGCTCAGCTTAAAAGTTTGTGCTGCAAAGGAAGATGGACCCAGCTTTGACAACTCTACGCATAATAACTGCGATCACTTCCTCATGGAGAAGAGAGTCTCCAGCCAATCACATAACCCAAACTGCTGTGCCAGTATGATGGAGACCAAGAGCTGTAATATAATTTATAATTATACAGAGTAAAAAGGAGGGGAAAAAAACTACCTAGAATATTGGACTTCACAAGTCAGGACATTCAAAATCATGGCTCCCGCAGCACCCATAACTTAGCTCCCTGCACATATGTAGCATGTACAGCAGGGTAGGAGCTCATATTTATGCCTCGCTCTTGCTCTGCCAGAAGCAGAATTATGGCTGCTGAGGGAACTGTAACTTTGATTTTTGTGACTTTTGTGCATTGAATCTTTAAGAAAGGGAAAAAAAAGTCACCTGTTTGGATGGTGGCAAATGGCTCTCCTCCATTTGCCTTTATTTCCTCTCCTCCTGCCTCTTCAGGCCCAGGTAAAACTGTGGATTTTACACAATGAGAGAGGAATAGTTGTTGAAAAGAAGAGATGGCATCTTTGCATACAATCCCAACCCACATGGGGCCTTGGCAGGGAGACTGCCTTAAAAACACAACAACAGCCTTGGGAGTGAGTTTCTATTTACAAAATAGTGCTCACAATCACCATTTAAAATAAATCATACCCTCTCCCTGCAAGGGACTTACAATAACCTCCAATATACAGCTAACTGGAAGACATTCACAACCTTAGTTCTAAGTTCATCAAGATGAACATATTCACAAATGGAGCAAGCAGTGGTGAAAGTCTGAGCCTCTATTTCAGAGCCATTTACCAGCACCAGTTGCACTGCGGCTTTGGGGAGGTGAAGAAGACTGCATTTTCCTTTTCTGTCTGCAGCGGTAGTAGCTCTTATGTTGCCTTTTTGCTGGAAATGCTACTTGGGAGATTGGCACATACCTTCAAAGAAATTTTCTTCTGTTTCTCTTCTCAGCGCTATTAAGAAATGCCTGTTGCAGTGGCTCAGATGTGGTTGCAGTGAGGGGACGCCTTTGCCAAAGGCTGCAGGAACCAACGTGAAGCTTCCTGATGGCTTGGATAACCTTTGGGTTGTGTCCTAAATTGCTTCACCTCTTCAGCTTCTCTGCTGCCTCCCCAGCATTCCCATCACAGTGCTGACAGCCCTGTGTAACCGCAGCAAACGCAGCAGTGCACGCATCCATGCCCTGCTCACAGCTAACTGCAAGGAAAAAAAAATAGGTAGTGCTAACAAGGTTAACGTGGGGTGTTTTGATGTGCTGGGGCACACTGTTGGGATGGTTGGATTTGTGATCAATGTTTCTCATTCCATTGGGTCATTTATTTGTAGGAGGAAGAACAGAAAAGAAAATTAACCTGGACACTGCCTCTGTCTCCCTGCACAGCAATGCTTTCCTGTGGAGGCCCCACTGATTAAAAAAATGCTTTTAATTTGACTTCCTGGAACATTATGTTATTTTCAACTCCAATGTGGGTTTATTTCAGGCATATTTCAGGAGCTTTGAATGAACAAAGATGCAAGAAAATGTATTACATTTGGGAAAATCATACAAATGGTAAATGTCTTTTCAAATAAGTTATAATGATATTTCAAGGGCAGTTTAGACCTATTCAAATCGCACATTCTCATTACCATTCTTAGCAAGAGGCATAAGTCCTTCAATCTCTGTGTAGTTTTGCTACTCTCTCCCCACAATTTTCAATTTCCTTACAACTATTCATCTGATTTATTATTTCCCTCCTGTATTCTAAATGCACTGTAACCCCATACATTTGTTTCACTCTCTCAGTTTCAATACTCAAGGTCGTTAATACCCCCAAATCTTCTTTGCTTATAACACAACTTTAAATGTGCTCTTTCTTGCCCAATGGTTTGTTACACAATTACCAGTGCCAATATCATCTTGTTTTTATAGTTTTACGATTAAAGAGATAAAAATGAACTCAACTGAATAAAAGGTAAGAGCATGCTTGCAATATCTGTGGCAAGGCTGCTGCTGCTGCTCCTATTGCACAGATGATACGGAGAGATGCAAAATTAATCTTTTTCAGCATGGTGCCCAAAAGTTAACTAAGGCAAAATGAATTATGTAGCACTAACATTTGGCCCTTCTGATTAAGTGCTACTTAAACACATTTCAAGTTTTAAATCGATCACTTTGCGCAGAGAGGCAAAGTGCATGTCAGTCCAGGTGGTCCAAGCGTGCTTTGAAAACTGAGCATCCTCACCAGCCGTGTCCCCAAGTGCCACCCCCACATCTTTGCCTCCACAGCCCAGGCATCGTGCCCTAAGCCGTCCCAGCTGGGAGCCACACGAGGCCCCAGGGATGCTTGCCCCTTCCCTAGGAAGGAGAGCGCACACAGAGGCAGAGAGCCTTTGGGGCAGCTTGCTCCAGGTGCAGGATGGAGCCATCTCCCCTCTTTCCACACCCCGTGCCCTCTCTCAGCTCCCCAAGGCACAGCTGACGCAGGGAGCCCCAGGAGCTCTGCAGGGCTGGGGGAGGAGTGAGCTCACTGGACAAGGAAACCATGCACAGCAGGGACACATCCGTTTTCCCTCCTGCTAGCCCAAATCCTCCCTTTGAATCACAGCTTTGGCTTAAGAACAGGAGGTTTATGTAAACATATAGCTTGCTTTCAGTCTGAGGTGCACAATTCCTTCCTGTCTTTTATTTTTTTCCCCATGCAACCCACAGACCTGGCATCACACCCAAACACAGCAGACCTTGCTACTCTCTTCTGGGGGATACAGTGCACCACCACCTGGATACTGCTGTCACTTCTGGCTGGTAACAAAGCAGGCTCCTTTAGATCCTGGAAAAGTTAAGTTAGACGCAGCCTCAAACCAACCCTAGCTACATCCTCTCTCCCTTACCCTACAACATCAAGTAAATGTTGCATGAAGTTACCAACCCCTATCAGGACAAGAGGAGGCACCACTACACCCAGCCTCCAGGCAAGACCCTGCCAAGCTGAGCTCCCCTCCTCAGGACCTGCTCATTTAACATTCCCTAACAAGGGCTACAGCCCCACGTGGCTGGCTGGCTCGGTGCTAACAGACCGTTAAAGCAGTCATTAGAGAAGGGCTGTGCTTGCTCTTTGGCCTTCGGAGCTCAGATGAGCTGCTGGCTAGGCTCCTTGAGGAGCATCCTTAAGAAAATAACGTCTGATGACAAATTTACAGCTACAGCAACTGCATGCTAAGTGCGTTTTACCCCAGCTAGTTGCGTGTCACAAGTTGTCAGTACAGATTGGTGGGAAAAGAGTATGAAATATTCATGAAGTTATCAATGGCACTGAGATACCCAGTTAATTATGCTGCTCAGCACTTCCTTGCAGGCTCAGAGTGCCCAGCCCGACTTCCTCATTAACATAACGGTTTGATTGTGCCTTTATGGCAGCCTCTGAACCACTGACACACCGCCATGCTCTTGGACCAACTCCATCTTAATTAGCTTTGCTGCCACTGGAATTAGGCGACATGTTGTAGAAGTCACTTAAATTAACTCCCAACTCTTCCTCAGACAGATGGGGCCTCAGTACTCGTGCCTGCCTATTACGTTTGTTTAATCATTCTTTAAAGGACTGTCACAAACAGGCAGCATGCCATAACGTGTGGCTGCGTCAGAAATGTGACCTTATCTCCAGTTCTTTCTGAAAAAGAATGTGTTTCTTAGAAGGTATCTGCATTTCTCAAGGCAACACATGCTGAGAGGGACTACAGCATCGCCTTCCCGAAGCTCTCTGCTGTGCTAGCAACTGCAGGACAGCTGGAAGAAGCCCAAATGGTGCAGGGTGGGGAATTCTTAAGCATAACAGCCCAGATTTTACACTCAGTGGACTTTAATTTGAATTTAAAAAAAAAACAAACTTTGAACAGTTTCTACAAATGTTACGGTTTGACTTGATGATCCTGAAGGTCTTTTCAATCCTAAATGATTCCCTGATTCTATGATTAGCAGTGCTGAGAGTAACACAGCAACCATTCAGAAAGGGAGACTGGTTGTAGCCCTGTATTTGTGTGCAGGAGAGAACCAAAATCAGCAAACTAATATTCAAGAGACTTTTCTGAGATTTGGCCATCTACTAGGCTTCATCTGGAGTTACAAGCAGACAGTGCTTTTAGTTTGCAGCATTTTCCATATATCTATATATATCATTAAAAATTAAAAAAAAAAACAAACAACAACAACAACAACAAAAAAAAAAAGATGAGAAGTTTGCTTTAGTTTCTCTCTGCAGATTTGCTTTCAAGCTGCAGCTTCAGTCAGGATCAGTTTTTGAAGTTCAGCTGGCTCTGACAGCACACTTTGCTGTGCATGCAGACCGTGCGAGGCAGAACATTCCTGCAGTGATGCTCAGCCCTGCATGCTCCTTGCCCTATCCCATGCAATGCAGGGCTAAGCAGCAATTTAAATAGAACTGTCACTTGCACAAGCAGAGCTGGCAAAGACCTCCGTGAACATATGTTTGGAGACTTTAGCTCATTTCTCTCAAGGTACATTGCAAGATAGCAGCAATGCTATCATTCTTGCCTGATGTGATTTTATCTTACTGGTAGGACCACAGAACAGCATTTGAGAATCTCCCAGACTGCAGCTTCAAAAAGCATGACTTCCGCCATTCACTTGGAAACTTCATCCTATGTAGGCTGACTTCAGTGCTGACACTGCTGCCGATTTGCTCAGATTAATTTTGGAAGGCAGGCTTAATCTGCCATAGTGTGGCCTGTCTGCTACAAGTTATCCTGCTTTACTCCAAGCAATTCAGACCCTGATGCAGCAAGGCACTTAAGTACTTAAGTGTCATCTCATTCACTGCATGGGCTGTAGCACTCGCTGAGTCAGGGATACAGTACTTCAAAATCCCCCTGTTGCTCTGTGGCAGGACTGGATGTGGTGTGGTACCACTGCAAGGTGAAGGTGCTGGCTCTGGGTCATGTTCTCACTGACCCAGAGCTGCCCCAATGAGCATGTTGGCTTTTGGGGGAGTGGGGATGGGTGCTGCCCAGCTGCAGCTATGCTTCTGCACCCTGTGGAATGAGTCTATCAAACTGAAGTGGGTTTGGAAGCCACTCTCCTAGCTCTTGCTCCATTTGTGGTGTGGCATTAATTCCCTAACCTATTCTAAGATGTACCGTTATTCCCGTAGTGACTTCATGTGCTTCATGACTTTCTGCCACAAAGTGAGATCAAATTCTCTGTCTGCGGACCCACAACTCTCATCAACTCACTTTTCATGGCTCCAGGGTCACCATTGCCTTCCCTGGGTAAACTGTCTTGTCTATAAAGGAAAGAAACAACTATCCTCTACATAACGGTGCACAATAAGGACATGATTAAACCATACTGGGTGCTGAGAGGCAAACTACTACACTATGATGTTCAAAAAGCCAGAATAATGTGATGGTTATAAAGACAGACAGCTCAGGCAAAGACTGCCTAGAGCACAGAATGATTGTCAGGATGGGCAAAAATGTAGAAAATCATGTGAGTGTGTAAGCTGCCAAAGCCAATTAATCCAAAGAACATTTTGCAACCATTAGGCTTCTATTACTGTGCATGCATCATAATTACTATGGGTCTGTGTGGATATGATGGCTGATCTTTAACAATATCGAGTTTTCATTTGACCTTTAATTATTTTCGTTGCATTTGTTTGTGTCGAATCGTTGCAGCATCTGAAGTTTGAAAAATCGACTCGTTTGTAATTTGTCATTTCAAGTGGTGCTGCAAAAGAGCACTGATATCCTCCCAGGAGCAAAGGTGAGGAGTGGGGAAGGGATGCTGCTGTGCTGTCCTGTCTCACGATACCTTACAGCAACTCTTGCTGTTACCATCAGAGCCTGAATAATATCAGAAACATGGCGACCAAGGAAACTTCTGCTGATAGAAATGTACAGAGAGCACTTTTGTTCGGCAGCTTTAACTTGGGCATTGATCAAGCCGTAAGTCAAGAGTTGTCCAGCAGATCCTGGCCTATGCAGAGCTGACATCTCCTACACAGCAGGTCACTGCAAAGCATCTGTCCGCTGAAAGTTCCTGTCTTGGTTTCCTGCCCGAGATACCCGGACCTGCAGTCTCCGCAGTCATTGCTACCTCCCTGAAACTCCTCCCAGATGACTTCCAGTCTAAGGCTCTTACTGTTTTCTGTTCCTCTAACATTTATTCACATTTGTTATCTCACCCTCA